AGCAGGATCCCAGAGCAAGTTGCCACACTGCAACACTACACCAACCCATTCACCAAGAGCTAAAATACCACGTGTTATTTGTTGACCTTTACTGGTAATGAAACCGTGGCTTCGGTCAGTAGGAAAGCATCACAGCTCTCTTGCAAAGAGGCAGACTGAGCTCCCAGAAGCTACTAGATACTCAGTTTTCTCACTCCTTCCTAAAATACCACTGTAATTTTAATTTACTCCAACGAACAAGCAGTTGACTAAATAGACATCCATTATAAAATTCATATTAAAAGAAGAGACACTTGGGATAATTTTGATTGATTTACTTGGCAGAGTTTTGATAGCTACTGAAAAACATACTATTCATGTTTAGGTGAAAAATAAATGGAGTCAAATAAGTGTCACTGCATAGTACTAGGAGGTATATACAGCCACATGTAAAAAGGCATAAACACAAACATTTCTGTACAGCAACTCTTCCTTTCAGTCTGTATAGAGAAACACTGGTTTATAATATGGGGAAAATATAAAGCAGACATACATGCAACAAGGACATGACAGTTACATAGGTCCCACCTGCCTCCCAAGAGTTACAACAATAATAATAACAATAATAACAATAATAATAATAAAAGCCTTTTTCAGGGAAAATATTTGAAACCTGGAATGTTTTCATGTTGAGGTTTCCAGAGAGCTTCAGATGTCAAACATATCTGAAAGTGATATAAAGGCTTGATTCAAAGCTCTGTGAAGGCAATGGAAAGACTCCATTGGTTTCAGTGAGCTTGGGGTCAGGCCCAGCTATTTAACCATGATCCCGTTCTGCCCTCCCCCAAAATCCAAAGTTGAAGTCTGCAGATAAAAATAAACAATCGTATCATACAAAACTTTGCATATAGAATACAAAAGGTAACTGTTGACTTTTTGTATAAAATACAACTTTCTGATAGTATATTTATTTCACATATGTATAAATATAACCCAAATAATATGATTTTTTATTTTTCCTACCAAAATATTACTTTTTGTTTTTTGTTTGTTTGGTTTTTTTACAAAAGTTTACAAAACAAATAATTCTTTATATTTACAACCCAATACTGCGAAGAGTGCCTGGTCAATGATGAAAAATAGACTATAAGGGTAGTGCACTTAGCCATTGCAAAGAAAGAGAAAAAAGACACTAGCTCCATTCAAATACAAACTTTCTGAAGAAATGATACTGGATTCAAGTTTTGGTTGCAAGAGTCTTTCATAAGGTCGCATTTCAACTGCATCAGACATTTCCTTACAGGACTGCAAATGGCCTCTACCTTTGTTGAATTTACTTAAGACAGGATGAAATTTTTATTCTGGGGATGGCACCCACAGGCCAGTGTCTTCTCCTCTCCAGGCTGAGGCCAATGGGATAAAGTGGGATAAAATCCACCGCCAGATGATATCCTGAAGTCTTGGGACCAGCTCCTCAGCTGAACATGATTTGAGGCTCTGGAAAACAACCTGACCTTAATATGAAAACCAGTGTGGACCTTTTCATTGGCATGTGAGGGTAGTTGATGCTATCAGATTTCAGACTTCATTGGGCATGGTGATACTAACTCAGCCTCAGCCTTGGTGGCATTGCAGTTTTCTGTTCCTACCAGAGCTTTGGCAGTCACTGCTGACCTGCTTATGGATGGGGTGTGTGCCCATATGTGAGGCAGAAGAGCCCATCGTCCCTCCACTTTACACTCCTGCAGCTACTATTTCAATCCAGTTTTGCACAATTTATAGGGGACTCACTTGTTAGACCACATCTGTATATCTCCAAACTTAGATGGGGCCACCAGTGGCCTAGGCTGAAAAGTTCTTTAAAGGCTTGGAAAAATTTGTACTGGCATATCAAAGGGAGTGCATGCACCCCAGCCAAAACTGGGGAGAAAAGAGAGCTTTCTGAGCAGCTGAGCCACCATGTTACACAATGCAGGGGTGTGCAATGATCACTAGCTGGAGCAGCAGAAAGGACTCTTCAGCAAGCTTTCTTGTCCCTCTTATGAAAAACCTGTCTGGGAATGAACAGCATCATGGACCAGCCCACCTCAACTGGCATATCTAGCTAAATGCCCACATTACACCTTTCCTGGAGGTGCTGGTGCTCTTTCGTGTGACAAAGCTTCCTGAAGTATCATGAAAAATTGTGCCCACAGAAAATGACAGTGTGAAATGACAGGAAAAGCCTTATTAAAACCTCTCTTGAGAAACAGGTGAGATAAGTGCAGAGGCTAGTGTCAAGTAGTCTACTCATCCCACTGCCACTAACAAGGATGAATAAAGCACTTGCATGGGGCAGAGCAAGGCCTCTTGGCACGGAGGCAGGTGAACCTAGGCACTGTGCTCCTTTGCCACACCTAGTTTTAGCTTATTCAGAGGAGGCTGTGAAACACATCTTACCACAACATTTTAAAGAACAGCATTTTCATTTGAATCGCAAGGTCTATTCCCATTTACAAATCCTCCTGTCTGACTCACTGCAGAGGTGCTTTATAGTGACATAGCACCTCCTTCTGATGCCCTTGCTGACCATCTATAGGAGAAAATTTAACACAGTCAGGACTATCCCCTGGCACTGAGGGCAAGAACATATGACTGATTCCAGCGCCCAGAAGTATTCTGAAAACCTGTTTCACTTACAAGCACAGATGTGGCTGAGTGGAGCCTCCTACTGTGAGTAACCCAGGTGGTTATAACTGATCTGCATGCTACTTCCAAGGGCAGAGCCTCTCATGCTCTGCTTGATGGAGGCTGTGGGGGCCTGGGTCATCACTGGACCTCTTTCAGCTCCTCCTACATGGCAAAGCAGGATGGAGGCAAAATGCCCTGCAATCAAAATGGTAGCCACTCCCCAGACAGAGATGCTGGCATTTCTGATGGGTTAAACCTGTTCAGTAGAAGAGGAGTGGGCTGAGCTACCTGATACTTTGCCACAGGTTAACACTAAAACAGGGTTTGTGGTTTAGCTAAGACATTTGCCCTTCTCTAACCTGGACTAGGGAAGTAGTCACTGAGGGTCAAATCACGAGCACCTTTTTCACTTAAGTTGTCCATTAAGTCACTGGAGGCCCTGGAGCAGGGCAAGGTGGCAAAGTGAGGTTCCTGAGCTTTGGTGTAGTTCATCTCATGTTTCCCTCAATGCCCAAAATGATTGTGCTGCTGGCAGGACAGTAGCCTCCTCTGATACTCGCTGCAAGCACTGATGAAAGGGAGAAAGTGAACACCAGAGCACACTGAGTAACACACTGTATGGTCTGTTTCCTTCTTCCCTTGGATGAGACCACTTACCCTTTTGTGTGCTATAAAACATAGGGGGTTTACACCAAAGTCATTGGGAAAGCAAATGTGAGTTTGTTCTGGGTAGAAGTAAACAGTTTTTGTAACGCAATGAGATTTACACATGGCCTGATGCTGTCAGGGCTGAATAGTCCCAAGGAAGTTAAGGGCTGCAAACATGGTGACTGAAGAACTCTGGACTGCTTGGACTCAGAGAAATGTTGTTCCACAACCCATACTGTCTGGTGCTTATGTGTGTAGGAAGCTAAACATGTTTTTCCACACAGCCCCTGTGAGAAGAACTGATGGGTTTTTTATGCGCTGAGCACTGGTGTGGGGAACAGACCCTTCATATGTTCTCACTCCTTTGTGGCAGGCATGAATGTCACTCACGTTATTGTTTCGTCATGAGAGACTTCAGTTTTGTTCCTAGAACTCTTCAAACAGGGCAGCTGCCCTATGTAGTACTTTAAAAGACAGCCCAGTTACTGGAGTGTATCTTAACAAAAGACTTTGTTGGCATCTCAAGAGAAAACTAATGTCCTTACTGCCTCTTCTTCTGGTTCACCCTTGGTACTGTCACTTAAGAGTGGCTCCCCAAAATTTCATCAAGGTTGATGTCTTTCATCCAGTCATCGTTACCAGGCTCTGTTTTCAGTAAAGAATCTATAAAGTCTGAGTCACTGTTGAGCACAGGTCCTATACTGTCACCTTGCTGGTTCAGGAAGTCAAACGCTAGGTCACTGCTGTGGTCACTTCCTGGGTAAGCCCGAGAGTTTTGGTTGGTTGATGTGAAACTGGTTGATGGCAGAGATGATGGAGGTGTCATACTTGTTCCTGGTTGATTCAAGGTAGGCACAGTCTGTCCTCTCAGCTGGTTAGGTCTTATGCTGAGACCTCGTAGTGAGCCAGCAGATTGTCCATTTAGAGTCTGGTGCATTTGGTTCGGAGGAGGCCTCATCTGGGCTCCAGCTGTTAACTGGTTAGGAGGTGCCAATGCACGCTGAGGAAAATGCTGGTTGCCTACGTTGCGTTGCAAAGACTGGTTTGGGTACGGGGTGCCTGTGGGGACACGGACCCCGGCAGGTTTCAGTGCATCCTGCTGCTTCACTGCAGCTTCTTGCGGGGCCCAGTTCTGGGCAGTGGCCGTGGCCGTGATCATCACGTTGGGCGGCCTTTGTGCAGGGATTCCTGTGGCTCCGTGGTTCAAGCTGGGCCTTACTTGCTGTGAGTTGACCACAGACCCTGTCCCAAAAGCCGCTACATTGTTTCCCTGTGTCATGCTTTGCTGTCGAGACATCATGGGGTTATTCTGACTGGGCAGGATTTGATTTTGGTTTCTGTGTGGCTGCATTTGGTTGATTCCTGAAGTCACATTGTACGTGCTTGGTTGGTTGCAAGGAAGGTTCCCATAACAGCCCATACTCCGAGTGGCAGGAACAGAAGGCATTCGGGTCCCAGCAGGGGTGGACAAGAGGCTGGAGCTCTGGGGCATGATGCTATGAGTTGAAATTGGGTTGGATAAGGACATGCTGGAGCTCATACTCACAGCTGGTGAACTACCTGGAAAGGAGAAAACCAAAGTGTTAAACAAACATGAGTGCATCAATGCAGTGCATATAATTTTAATACCAACAGGTTAAAAACCCAGTTGTCCAGCAGCAGAATTGCTTGAAGACACTTTGCTCGAACTGCTTAAGGCCTAAAAGTTGCCTGTCATCCAAAGGTGGTGTATATGAAGCCATTAGTGATCTTTTCATCCCTTCAGAGGACATCAGATAAACCAAAACCAGTGCTCACTGTAAGAGAACTATTGGACCAGGGAAGGACAGACAGAACCACTGGGCAGGAGAAAATATTTTCTGCCTTTTTTTTAAAGACGCACTAGATGCCTCGGACAGGACAAAGCCTAAGTAAGCAGAGGCAAAGGAGATCAAGGAATTTTCTTCCTTACAGGGCATGGTTTCTCCTTGCTTTGATCTTTTGTAAATACAACAACACCAGACTGAATTTGACTAACTTTAACCTCATCATCAAATCTTATTATATATTAGTCTGTGTGATTAATTGTATTAGTTGGTCCATCATCAATGCCATCTTACTGTACAGGTGCTTCAAGACAGGGATCATACATGCAGAGTTCTCCAAATACATCAGTCTCAGTGTGTGGCCCATCTTCCAGTTCTTCAGTCCTTCTAAGCTCTTTTCAGAACTTGACAGTTTTCAACATCTGATTTCAAGGCTGCACATCACAGCTGGTCACAGAAAGAGCTCTTGCATGTCTCCAACATAGATGTAAAATAAGCTCTTTTTTCCTTGTTCAGTATCATCTCAGACTGTGTTTGTCCTTCCAGTTGCAATCACACAGCCTACTTACAGTGATACCAGGAGCCTGTGACCTGTCAGCCATTTCCTTATGTACCATGTTACTTTTGTGTCACTCTTTTTTTAAGCAAATTAGGCAGTACAAAGTTGGATGCTTTAAAGGACATTACCTGAACAACTGTTACGTTTATCAACCAAAGTTGTGATTTCACTGAAAAAAAAACCACACTAAATCAGCCCATGTTGCCTGACATTAATTATATTCCCTTCTTAAATTCTTCATCATTCAGGCTGTATCATCTCCCTAGTATTTTTGCTGAGCTCTGCATTAGGTCACTAGGGTTACAATTACCTACTTGCTCTTTTAATTTTTGTCATGGCATTAGCAGTCTTCCTTGGAGTTTCAAGATGAAATAAAAAGCAACATAAAGATTTTGGAGAACCTCTCAGCCAGTTCTTTTAAAACTCTTGAAGACAAATCATGCACATACATATTTAAAATGTCTATGTTTAGAAACAGCTGTTTAATATACTGTTCCTTTTGAAACTTCAGCATAATGATATTCAGTTCCCTCAGACTGGAACCAAAGAAAAAATTATCATATATTTCTGCCTTTCCTGTGTTATTTTTATACATATGCTATTTCCATTTAGTAATGGATGCAAAGGATTCCTTTTTTCCCTAACTACTTGAAAATAATCTCTTCCCAAATCATTATTAACACTGAATGTGACTCCACAACTAGAGTTGCTTGTTCCAAATCAATACAAACATATACTCCTAAATTAGGAAGCTCACCTTGTCCTGGAAAGCAGGCTTTTCCACAAACTGGCTCTAAACAGGAGACACTTGGCTATAGAGAATCTAACTGTCCTAACAATTACATTGTTCTAACTTAAGCACCTAAATTTAGTCCCTGAACTGGGAAATTTCTGGGACAGGAGACACTATGAGGAGTCCACTTTGTTTCACCTCCACAGGGACAATCAGATTCTCCTTCATGTCCTCCCAGGGAGCCACCTAACTGAATTTAGCCCTGGAAATGAAGAGGAGAAATTCAGTGCTCAGCAGACAACCTCTCGATGACACGTTTGGCTTTGCTAGTGGGTTTTGCATTGCTCACAGCTTTTTGGAGATACTATCAACATCTTTTCATAGGGTGATGGGGATGGGGGCCCTGATTCTTTGCTTCCTTATGCTGGTCCTAAAGAGAAGGAATGGCACAGAAATCAGTGGCATTTCAAAAGACCTGGAACAGCCATCTGGGGAGAGCTGGTTTTCTTCCTCCAGCTGAACTACAAGTTTGTAGAGTTACTTCACTTGCAGCTGGGATGAAGCTTCTCCTGGGGTGACCGTGCCATCTGTTGAGCAGCCTCCAGGGCTCCTATCACACTGCTCCTGCAGATGCCATGCTCCTTAAAGAGCACAAGTGGTGGGGACATGGGTTGGTTGTACTTGTTGTGCAAAAGATGAAGCTTCCCTTTTCCTTGTATTGCTATTTTTATGCTTTTATTTTTGACACAAATATTTTCCATTCTGATTTTTTCCAGATGGGAAGAAATGTCTTCCCCAGCAGTACTGTGTACAGCAGCTGGGCACCCCAGGCTGCAGAAACTTGAAGGCCTTTGCTGCCCAGTTCACCTGCTCGTGTCTTGGGGGTTTCTTGCTGTGACACAGAACTATGGGGAAAAGCAATAGAGGGATAATAGGCTTAACCATGTGTCTCCAAGCTCCTATCTTACTTTATTTATTTTTTTGTCTCCTCTTCCCTGTCCTGAGCAAAGCAATTCCCAGAAAAAGGGAACAGATTCCTTGCTGTTACTCCCTTATGCAAGAGTTTCCCAATCACTCCATCTGGTAGCTTTGCTGCGCGCTCCCAGCACAGCCCTTTCTCCCAGGCGCGCCTGAAAAGCTGCTCTCCTCCCTGGGCTCACTCAGCAGGGACTTGAGATTTGAATGGATAAGTGCTGCCAATCCCACATGTTTCAAAGCCAGGAGAGGGGGCTCCAAATACCACAAGACTGGCAAAGAGTCCATCAGATTAAGAACAAGAAGAGCCACATAACAATGGTGATCTACTTCTTTTGGAGCCTTTCACAGATGTGGCTGCAGTAATTTCCATTTTCTCTCTCAGGCTAGACATGGATTGTTTTTAAGTAAAAGCCAAGAATATCAGTTAATCATTTGATTCCAGGAATGAGACTTTAAACAACACACCAAATTGCAGGATTCCCCAGCAAACTTCTGGGGTTGCCAAAGCATTTGTTTTACAAGCACTGGAGGTACCAAGCCAACACCCCTTCTGTCCTGAGGCATCACCCTCACCAGGGGTTATTACACTGGCATCAGTGCAAATTTACTGAAGATGAGAAACATTCAGGCCTGTGGGAAAGCAGCAGTTTCCAGACTGCAGCAAGTTTATCACCACTGGAACTTGTAAACAAAACAAAGGAGTGCACAGACATTGCCTGAACAGCCCAGCCCTCCATACACAGCCAGGCTGCTGGTGCCATGGCCAGCAAGTCGGGCAGAGGGCTGGCATGTGAGTGAGCTGCCCTTGTTAAAGTCATAACAGAAGATGAATAAGTTTTTCTACAACAGAGATACAGGAAGGAAAGACTCAGATCCCCAGCTGAATCTGCAGAGCCAACAGTTATGGAAAAACAAACTCATCGCTTCTTCAGAGTGCTGTATGCAAAGTTAAAGTAGAAGGCAAAGGATCCTTTTCATACTTAAATGCACAGACACTATGCAGTGTAAAGAACACGCTTTGATTCCATCTGCTGCAGTTCCCCCCACCTCTTTTCTCTTCCCAGTACCTTTTCCCTACTTTGCCTTTGCTCTCAGTAGCTTCCAGCTAACCAGCATGATGGGCAGCATGAAAAGCCAAACAGCCACTCCTCTGCTCCAAAACTAGACTCTCCAAGGAGGTGATGGCACAGGAGCTCAAATCAAGGCCTACTCCTGAATTGTTAGACATATCCTGCCCTGGGTGGTTCTGGCTGAAAGCAGGGGATTTTACCCCACTGTTTGACTGATCTGTTGAAATGCTGCTTGTAAAGCAGCACTGAGACCATGCCTGAGCCATATTTAACAGACCAAAAGTTCAGATGGCATGTCTGGTTGCCCACGATGGTGTCATATGAGGTAGTTAAAAATCAGTATGTGGGTCCTCATCCTGTACATGAGCTGCCATTCAAAGAGAGGGATGGTACATGAGAGATGGAATAAAGTGAAATAGTCAAGAGGACACCTCTGCATCAAGTATTTGGGTGCACAACTGCCCCAGTCAGTGCTTATGGGAGGAGTATCAGCCCTTCCTTCCCCATGTCTGAGAGATGCAGCATCAGCCTGGATGAACCACCAGCTGGTTCTTCAGATGATACATCAGCACTCCTCAGAGGTGGGGGACAAAAAGGCCAATAACACAGGACAACAGCAGCCACCACCTACTGCCTCTTCAGGGGTGTAAGTGGATACTCAGAAAATCAGGCCCCAGTCATCAATGGCTCTTGTGAGTGGTCTTCCAGCTGGAAAAAAGGAAGGAAACAGTTTTATTTAGCCCATGGGCACTTACCAGGATATTGGTTTGCTTGTTGCATGTTGACCACGTTCCTTCTTTGGTCTTTGTAATCTGGCGGTGGTCGTGTCAAGTGTCTGTTCAGCTGATCTTGTGGAGTGATTTTCTCCTAGAGGATCAGAGTAGAAATACATTAATTTGCATTTCTTTTTGCTTTCCTGGCTCTGTGTTTTGCCTACATCTTTTTTTTCTTAGTATGTAAGAAGCTGAAATGTTCCTTCTTTCCTCCCTGTCTGGTTGACAGGGGAGGCATCTGTGAATCTGTGCCATTACCCATTGAAGTCTGTATGGTTGCATTGTGTTTGAGTCTGTCTAACTTTACTTACAACAACTGAGGGTTGCTAAGCCTCTGCAAATATTGGCCTACATCTGCACTGTAGTACAATGTGTCCTCAGACATCTGTCCCATCTTGCTCACCATGCTCATCAGACAGAAGAGCCTGATGGTTCCTCGTGGCTCCCTTCCTGTCTGTGAGGCTGGGTTTGCTTTCAAAGCCCAGAAACAGAGCAAACACCTGGGTCTAACACAAACACCCAGCTGGGATGCAGCTGGGGAGCAACAAAGGTCCAGATCTGCAAGGTTGACACGTGCCCCTTGTCTGTGTTGATGGTCTTCAGCCCATTCCCACCCCCCACCAGCCCTCTCAGCGTGCACAGATGGCAAAGAGCATTTCAGCTTGTCCGTAAACATGTTTTGCCCCAGCCATCACCAGCCCTCTCTCTCCTTCTTCCTGCACTGGAGGATTTCCCACAAAAATCAGCAAAACCCATTGCTTTACCCTCCCCTGTGCCTCTCCTCACAAGGGATGCCAGCAGGAGACATGGCCAGGGTTTGGCAAGGATGGTGCTGAGTTGGTTGGTTTTCATGCCACTCACCATTGCCCTGTGCTTCCCCACTTGTGGAAGGACAGGGGGGAAAGATTGCAGAAAAAGCTCATTAGTATGGGAGGGTGTTTTTTTTTGGGGGGGGGCTCTGCAGGAACACATCTCCACTGAAGGGAAGACAGAAATTCAAGTTATTGAACTGAAATCAGCTTATCAGGGTGAAAGTGTCAGGCCTGGCTGGTGATGGATGTCCATAAGATTAATATGGGGATCATCTGCCTCAAAAAAGCACCCAAATGGACCTTCTTGTGAAAAATCTGTTTTTTCTTCTGCCAGGAGCACCTTAAAGACTGGGAGAAAAGCCTTTCTTCAGGTATTTAGGCATTTCCATAATGCACTCTGGGAATGAGGGGCCTGGTTAAGAATTCTAAGGCTCATTTTAACCTTCTGCTTGACCTGAACCCTTATGAAGAGGAAAGACAAGTTATCTTCCAGGAAATTCCTGCACTATTTGTAAAAACTGTAGGCAGGTTTTGTATGTGTATGCATGTGGCACAAAAGCAAAGGCAGGATGATTAAAATAATACATTCTGCAGAGAGACTTTCATTTCCATTTTATTTATTTTTAAGAAAATATATTTGAGCAAATAATTTTTGCTAAAAATCCTGACAGAAATCTGTAGCACGTAGAGCTCACTTGAAACTTCAGTTTTCTTCTGCATAAAATAAAATGTCAACAAATATTTCTCTTAGAGGACAAATGAAATCCTTAATTTCAAACTCAAGTTTTCTAATTGTGTTTTTGGAATGGAAATATATTTGCAAATAAAAAGATATTCCCTATAAAAAATGGAATAGTAATTTTTTTAAAAGCATCCCCACAAAAAGATGAATGTTTTTCCATTTCTGTGTTGTTCTTTAATTGCTGAATAGCATTCACTAAGTGTATCAGTATTTCTGAGTTATATCTTTATAGACGAAGAAACTTTTGAATTTAAAATGTCAAGCCAGCACAAATGAGTCTGCCCCATAGGCTGTTCTGGCAGACATGCAGGTTGAGGTAAATAAGCTGAAGGTTGGGGGTCTGCTGTCATTGCAGCCTGAAGGAAGAAAAGCAGGTGGTGGTGTCACCTCTATCCTTCCCTAGCATCCTCTCTGCAGCCCTTCCCTAGTGGCCACAGGGCACCCACATTACCTTCTGCCTGTCCCAAAACCATGCCAACCTCAGCTCCTCTTCTAGGACTTCTCTCTTCTCCGTAGTTTGGCAAGAAGGGCTACCAAGGTGAATATGAGGATGCAAAGGACATCTGCTACTGCTCTGGTTAGCTGGGAGTCCCCCCATTGCACTGGCCATGGGTGATGGGCCATGGAAACACCTTCAGCTGACTCAGTTTGTTCAAGAGCAATGGCAACACCAATTTAATGGAACAAAATCAGTGGGTCTTAGCACTTATCACTGCCAACAAGACCACAGGTATCCTCCACGCCTCATAAAATGACCAGAAACTCCCAGATGGTCTCTCAGGCATGAGAATGGTTACAAATATTTGGAAACGCAAAAAGAAAAACAGAGAAAGGAGGAGTCATGTATGATCACAGCCAAGCACACAAACTTGTGCTAAACATTAAAATCAAAGTACCTGGTCCTTGTTTACACACAGGCACTTTCTGCCATGCTGCCCAGGTTGCAGATCCTGGAAGTCAACTTTCCTCTGTGGTCGAAGTAGCATAGCAGTGCATCTTAGCTTATCTTGCAAAGAAAACCACTGATAATGTTCATATGCCTCAAGCATATGTTTAGACTGTTCTCATAACAAAACCACAGTAGCTTGGGTATTTTAGTTGTTTCATATGAACTGTAGAAAGTTTCAAAAGGGCTTAGCAGAGCGCTGAAAAACATGAGGCACGCTCTAGAAGGTCGAGGCATTGCCAAAATGACCTCAAGAGTTTTGGGGGCTTTCTTCCCCCTGTCTTAGCTTTCTTTTCTATTGTTTCTATGATGATATTTTCCATGTAAAATAGGGAATTAGGAAACTTACAGCTTCTGCCAACATCTGCTGCTGTAGAAGGAGTTGTTTTTGCTCCATCATTTGCCGTTGCAGAGCCTGTTTCTTTTCCATCAGTTGCTGATTCAACATTGATTGCTGGGATGAGTTCATGTAACCACTTCCAGTGTTTGGATTTGAGCAAGAACTGGAACTTGGAGTGGGGCCAGCTCCCTGGCCTACCACAGAGTGTTGATCCTGAAACAGAAGAAATGGCTCGTGAAGCACAAAAATAATAACAATAATAACAAAGGAAATATTCCTTTTTATGCAAGTAGCTGAAGTACAGGACACAGCCCACAGGCTCTCAGAACAAGTGACCAATACAAAGGGTTTGATAGAATAAGAAAGAAATTGAGTAATTTCATCAGTCATGGAAGACTCTGAAAATGTGCCAAGTGGTTCCAGTGGAAAACCTCAACATTGTACCAGGAGCTTGGGAAGCATTAACAGAAGTAACAGAGCCCACCTGGGGATCTTTCAGGAAACTCACATCAGGCTGTATGGCAGTTTGTTTGACCACAGGGGAACAAACTCAAGAGTCTGCTGGTTCCTACCATCTGGTAAGCAGCAGCCAGAAGTTACAGACTCCTTGCTAGAAGTGGCATCTATTCTTAGAAAACACAGAAGCTGTAAGCTGTTACTTTGCAGCAGGGTGAGTGTTGCTGTTTTCATTTGTCCCATCACCTCCCTGACAAGCGCAATCTCTGGCAGATTGTTAATTGTGTCTCATTAGCAGCAGGATTAAGTAGGCTTGGATTTTATCTACTTCCTTGGTAAAACAAATGTGTAATTGGACAGGCCTTTGAAGCAGGATTTAGGGTCTCCCTTTGCTGGAATTAGCTGATCTTTAAGGTCTCTTCCAACCCAAACCATTCTATGATTCTATGGTCTTTGGGATGGATCTAGATCCATTCCCTCTTTGTCTTGTGCAGCTTCATGAGGAAGGGATGGCAAAAAGTCATTGCAGGGGGTGATGCAGAAAGTACTCAGACCTTGCCCATACAGGATGAGAATGAACAAGGGATGACAATATGCTGCTTGTTTTCTTTTTACCCATGGTTTCTCTTGGCAGCAATATGTTTTCTGTCTACTTGCCCCATCAGTCTCTGGTACTTAGACTTTCACCAAATGTAGTAAACAGTTTTCTCACTCCACCCCACAAAAATATCCAGCCTACCCTGGATCACTTGATAGTTAGATATTTCTTAGCTGCTCAGATACAAAGACAATAGGGGACACTGGATAGGTCACAGAAGTAATGAAAAACACCAGTCTTCTGACTCCACTTTGTTGTAATGCCGGGTAGGAAGCAAAACACTTACTTCTGTGTAGCCATACAACCCAAACCATTCTATGATTCTATGGTCTTTGGGATGGATCTAGATCCATTCCCTCTTTGTCTTGTGCAGCTTCATGAGGAAGGGATGGCAAAAAGTCATTGCAGGGGGTGATGCAGAAAGTACTCAGACCTTGCCCATACAGGATGAGAATGAACAAGGGATGACAATATGCTGCTTGTTTTCTTTTTACCCATGGTTTCTCTTGGCAGCAATATGTTTTCTGTCTACTTGCCCCATCAGTCTCTGGTACTTAGACTTTCACCAAATGTAGTAAACAGTTTTCTCACTCCACCCCACAAAAATATCCAGCCTACCCTGGATCACTTGATAGTTAGATATTTCTTAGCTGCTCAGATACAAAGACAATAGGGGACACTGGATAGGTCACAGAAGTAATGAAAAACACCAGTCTTCTGACTCCACTTTGTTGTAATGCCGGGTAGGAAGCAAAACACTTACTTCTGTGTAGCCATAATGTGCCAGTGTATTCGCTTCCCAACACAGGATTCCTGGGTGGCTGCAGTCTGATGCTCCCTGTTATGCAGCAGTTCTCTCTGTACCAAGGTGTAGTTCCAAGGCCTAGTCTACTACAAGGGTAAAGCTCTGCTCCATGGACATTGCCTCCCATGCCATCCAGGAGAATACAGACACATCAACAGTGAAAGACTGTCCAGGCATAGCCTACACATGCCCTGAAAACCACGGAGCACTGATGCTCATCATTTTGCAAACTCCAGGAAAGCTCATTTCTATGCCTCAGTTTTCACTTGGTGCCTTAAGCACACAAAGGCACCCCACACACAGTAACACAGACACACACACTACGAACTAATCCAACTTATCTTTCTACCATCTGGCATGGAAGAAACACAATGATCGATATGGGTATTTCTATTTTAAAATATTTCTGTGGCTTTTTGATGGGGCCACACGAGTGTGTAGCTAGCTAGATAAAGTATTTGACATCTGTTATTGAAATAAAAACCGTGACTTTCTTCTGGAGCCACCTGCAGCCCCAAGGCAGTGTTATAAACCCACCCTTCAAAATTTATTGGGCTCTTACACAATTATATCCCTCACACTTTCTTTCTGTTCCAGAAGGAACCCAGGATTGCTCAGCACTGCCACATTTTTCAGCCCTTATGTTAGCTGCAAGACAGAAAATACCTCCTCTCAACAGACCTGCTTGCCAAGTTGTTGTGCAAACTTTTTTGTCTTTCTTAAAATATTTTGAAAAGAAAAATATGTTACAATAAATTGGCTTTGACTTCTATATTCAAGTGACAACTCCAGCTTGAACCCAGCCACATGTTACATCCATTAATAGAATTCATCTGTTGTATTTTTGCACAGATAATGCAGGCTCCCCTAAATGTGCTTTCATAGTCCTGCATGAAAACCAAAACAAAACAACACAACAAAGCCAAACTTTTTCCTTCCGTCATCCCCTGCCAGCCTGTAGAAGCTGTGGGGAGGGATTTTAAGCTAAACCGTGTAGTGTCCATTCATGATACCTATCAAAGAAAGCTCTTCTCTAATAGCAATTGGAACAAAACAACAGCTGCTTGGCAAACAAGCCCTGAGAAAATGGTATAAATCACCAGCTTGGTGGGATTTTTTTTGCATTTAGTCCTTTCTCTGCTGTTCATGAAATGTCAGTGTGAGCCTATGAATCTATGATGTGTTACTTCTCCTGCCTGCTGCTCTTTCATCGGCAGACATGTGATGGGAGAAGGAAGAAACAGTTTGCTAATAAATCAGAGGATTAGCTGCATGGCAGTTTGACCCATTGTGAACTGGTGATACAGAGCTTTACTCTCACCCCACGCATGTATCTCTGCAAATCTGAAGACAGAAGGGCTACAATGCTGACATCACTGAAAAAACTTAAAAACATCACTTAAAAACATACTTTCCGATATCTTTCCTCAGTAAAATCTACCCTGCTTTCACCGAATCTGGGGCCAGCTAAAGCAGGGGCAGAAGTAGTGCTCACCAAGCACCACAAACCCCCATCTGCTCCACTGCTGCCAAAACTCCAGCACAGTGATGCTCTAGGTGCAAAGAACTCTCCAGGTGTGCCTCCTTTGCACCTTCTTCTCTGATGTTACAAGGAGATATAAAACTTTTGAGAAGCAGAAAGAGAGGCAGAGGCAGTGGAAGCTCCTCAGAGCTGTTAGCACAACTGGGGTTTTTTCATAAGCATCAGAAAGAACATTATGCTCAAATGTTTAAATGTGCAGTAAATCAAAACATTTAAGACTGATTTTGCCTTTCACTATCCCTGCTGCATCTGAATTGTGTTCATACAAATTAAGGGAGATTCTGGTTCCTAACACAAATACGGGCTTTACAAAGTAGACTATTTCCTTTCCTTTTCTCTCCTTTCCCTTGCCCCTTCCCGAGACCATGCCCTCGAGGTACGACCTGACTGCATGTCAGCTCTGTTGCTGCTTTTGGGGTCATTCCCCATGCTTTCACAGAGAGGTGCTGCCAGTTGCCTCATCATGGTCTTCTGCTCATAGTGCAGGACCATCCTAGGCAGCCTCTGTCCTGCTTGTGCCCTGCCAGCTCTGGAAGCTCACACCAGCATGTACCTGCCACCACCTCCTGGGCTCGTGCAGCTCTTCCCTGCTGGCTCTCTCCTGTGCCAGGACCTCTTGTGTTGCTGCTCAAACCTTCGACACCAAATGCTGCTCTCTGGGCTGACGCCATGGCAAGGAGCTGTGGCCACTGCTGGGCATCCTGCCTCCATGACCCCACAGCACTGAAGGCTCCTGCCACCCCACTCTGAAGAGGCTTTTCCACGGAGCTCAAAGAGGTGGAGGAGTCTTTAAGGTTCCTTCTATGCCAAACTATTCTATGAATTTATGAAAGGCTCCACAGAGTGCAAGATGTTGCTGCGTTTACCAGGAAAAAGAGGGGATTTTCCTGATCACTGCTTTTATATTGAGCAGTAACAGTGATGTGCAGCTGGAGAGAGGGATTTCTGCCAAGCAGAGAGCTGGCAGGGCTCTATGTCACTGGGACAAAGTGCACCTTCCTCCCTTCCTATTCTCTCCTTTCTCTTCCAAGCCTTTCAGGAGCACTTGAAAGCCATTTGCAAGCTTGTATTTCTGAATTTGTAGATCAGAAGTGGTTTAGGGACACTGGCTGGAAAAGGGTCTGCAAACCTTTTGCCTCTTTCTCCTGGAAACCCCTAGAATTGATTAATAATTTTCTTGGGACAGAAGGGGAAACAATGGTCAATTTGTAACTAAACCACAGTGCCTTCAGAGGCTGTTCTTTACCCAGCCAGGAGCACAGCATCTGTGTCACAGGACCAACTTCTGCTTTTTGCAGATTTTTCCTCAAAAGGAGGGGGTGAATTTTTCCACCTTTCTGTTCGTCTAAACAGAATGTGCAGCTCATTCTGTGCCAAGCGTCAAGTCAGGAGTGACAGCACTGACTTGGCACTCACCTTTTGCATTAGTTCTAGTTTAAAGAAACAAAGAATTAAAAGAAACAAAAAAAAGGCTTCAGATCCATTCCTTGAAGCCTGTTCAGTGACAGACGCCTGCTTTACCAAAAGTTGCTTGCAGGGGAAGAGCTGTGCAAAGTTATGTTCATCTGGTGACCAAACCTGTGCAAGATGTTCCCACTCATAAGCACTGATTCAGTTGTATTAATTGGCGTAACAGGCTATTTAGAATGAGGATGGGGGAGATCAAGGCACCTCTATGGATTTCCTCCTCTTTAATCAGGGACCAGTGGCCATCTTGACCCCATCAGCTTCTCAACGACATTGAGATTTGGCTGCAAACCACTTGGCACAGCACACACTGGAAAGAGCAGGAGGAGGAAGAGAAGGTCTCT